GTACGATAAAATAGTTGGTATTTCAGGTGAAACAATTTCTGGACGCGAATACTTTTTGGAATCCACTAAGCTCATTGAATAATCCACTAACGTTCACAAATACAACAGATTGCTTGATCTCACAACAATATCATATTGACTGAAATAAGCGAAGATTTCATAGTAAAATTACAACTGATATTTTTCTGCATTATGCGTGTACTTACAATGTATAATAAATCTAATTCGAAAATGAAATGCTTTCAAACCGTCTTCATCAAAATACTGGAACATTTTAAACACACTAACAGCTTCAGACAAGAAATGAATTTTATTCTTTCAACTCGAGTCAACATAATTGGATAACAACAATAATGAATAACTGGAATCAAATATCCAACAACCAAATGACCAACAAAACAATTAAATAGAGACTTTATCTTATAGAATCAACCTCCATAAGCACATGCATAATACGTGTTGAGTATGATATATTGCACAAATATACATCAACTTTTGCAATTTTTAATTCGTTCACAACCATCCAATGTTTTCCTACATCAAACAATCAGTGAAGATCCGAGTGAATCTTTTCCGAAAACCAACCACACCATAAAATCACAAAAAATGATGATATGTATTGTAATAATATAAAAAATTATCAATTTGAATAGCATTTAATTATAGATAAATTCTCACATTCATATCACTTTATATTATCATATTTTCCATTCATACAAATATTACTTTAGCACAATTTGTTGGATGACACATGTATAATAGAATAAACCAATGAATATAAACCCAATGAAGAATATTTACAATAAAAAAAGACAAATCAATGGCAGAATACATGCAAAAATATTTGAAAAACAATTTTTTTCCGATTACCAATGAACTATGAGAGGCTCAGAGAGTTCATTTTCTGCAAATCGACTTCATTTTTGTTTTCACCGTTCCCATGCTATATGAAAGAATCCGTCCGGTCCTCAACATTTAACAAAACGATCCTTTGCCAATACCCAATATGACGATATAATGTATAACCTATCCAAGTCCCATATTGATATATGTGTTATTCTTGATAAGATAATAATGAAATCAGTTACCGCAGAACGATACACTGATCAAAAATCCATCGCTAGCAGATATTGCCACCTTCACGATTCACTCGTTCATGCTCTGATCGATACGCCTCTTTGGCTCTTTCATTTACACCTTCTTTGTTGCGAGCTGCTTCAATTGCCAAGAATATTATCTGAAAATCTTGCAAATATTTGACCAAAATCAATCTTTTGCATTCTCAAACCACAACCGAATCAATGCTTTTTGCGAAGTTTTCGATGATTCGCGAATGATTTGAACGAAGTGATCATTAGACAGGACAGAGATGACAGCATAAACTAAGGTATGAGATGATAAAGTACGGATGAAATTGGTTACCTACCTTAGGCACAATGATGGTATTCGCCTCACTATAGGCACCATCTGCGCGCATTCGAAGAATTGTACCCAAATTGTATTCCTCCACTGAGTCTTTGAATTTATCACAAAACGTAAACCATTTCTCTTTATTCTCACCTTTTAACTCTTTTTCTGTGATCTGAAGTTTAAATGAAGTCATCCTCGGAACATGTTGCACTCAAATTTTCGACTCGTAATTTTCACATTCTTCCATTCACATCATCCCAAAATTATCACTCACACAAAAGTCTTAAGAACTCAACATCAAATAAGACGGAGTTATGAAAGATGGACATAAATCTCCCATGAAAATGATATAACCAAGTGACCAAGGACGACTATCATAAGTGTCAAAACACATGATTTCCAGGGAAACTCCTCAATCAAAAAAAAAAACAACTTACACTTTCGACGTTCATGTCNGTGTTACATCCCAGCAAGAGATTCATATGAATACTAGCCCGTTCTGCAGCCTGAAATATAAGTTTTCTGCCGCATAAAATATGTTGAAGGCATTTCCTCAAGACACACAAAGTCCCAATTTAATGAATATTTTGAGCTGTTCGAAAACAATTGGAGAAATTCGCGCACAGAGCATGGTAAATATATCAAATCATAGAAGAACAATTTACACCGAATAGATATATCGTCAATGGGTTACCATAAAAATCCATAATAATTGAGTGAGTGCTATAAAAGTGTCATGAGTGATTTAACGACGTACATGGACGTCCGATGATCATCTTTCCGACAAGCAATACGCGAAAAGTAAAAGACAACGACTTACCTTACATGCCCATGCCACCTCACATGAAGGATCATTAACGTATTGTTGTGCATCTCCACTTAGCTGGGCGGCAATATCGCGTGATGCCAATGAAGTGAAGTCACTTTCATGGAAGGACATCGGATGATAAATTTTACCTCAAATTGCTCGATTATTCATCGTCGTATCAGTTTCGACGCAAACGACGACAAAATATAATTTCATTCGAAAAGCAATAATAAATGATCTCAGAGCACCGTGTTCAAGGGAAAATTACTTGCATGCTGAGAATCTCGACATAAAGGCTTGCAGAGAATTGCACCGAAAATTTCATGGATAAAAATGAAAATTTGAGGATTCCTCCAAAATATGGCCTCATTTTAGAGGTTGACCGACAAATGCATCTCCCGGCAAGTCTAACTCTGACGAAAAACACCATGTTCCTCAATTATGAGGTACACGCAAATTGTCGGAGTGGCACACTGTCGTGGACCCATATTACATAGGAAATGGGCAACTACCAAAATAGTGGGTGGACGTTTCGCCAAAAAACGTCAAAATGTAGCGTGACGTAACACACTTTCGTAAAGCATGGAGAAAAACAGCTGATACAAGGTGAATTAATTTATTTATGAGACGCACGAATTTGACATATTCCATTACCTGATGTACCCGATCTGAATAAATGCACGATGCATCGTGAACAAGAGAATAAAACTTTTTACTTACGGACGAAGAATCGCCAGTGCAATCGGCACGTTTCTTCAGCAGTCAAAGTTTAACCACGGATGTGTCAGTGAGATATCACTACGAGCAATTGAACTCCATGTAGTGCTGAAAGAGGAATTTAAAATTTTTCTCTAGAAATTTTTCTAGAACTTTCTCTAATTTTTTCCCCAAAAAAATTCACCTTCCGCAAGAACCAAACTAGTATATTTGAACGGTAATTCAATTCTCTAGAAATCTGGAAATTTTCAGCGAAAATTACCCTTTAGGTATTGAAATTGTAACTTAAAATGAATCCTCACCACGGAAAATACTGCCTTTGCGAGCGGAAACAGTGCCGGATCAAAAATTCCATCAGCCAATGTCAAGTAGTCA